CAATGTGCAATAATGTCATTTAACTTTCTTCTAATTTAGTTTCACATTTACAGCCAACATTCATTGTGCTTTTTAATGTGCTTTTTTATTGTTTTTCTATTGTTGTGGATATGTAGGTATATATATATATGCTGATATATAAGCATATTTTAGCTAATTTTATCCTGTTACTTTTTATTCTCTTCTTTTACTTTAAATGTGTATTTGCACTACTGTGTGAGTGGCTCTAATCTTGTTATGCACATGTGTAATGACAATAAAGGCATTCTATTCTATCCTATTCAAAATAAATAACTTTATTTTAAAATTTGACCAATACAGAAATAGCTCTGTCGTTCTCTTGGTCTGCATTTCTTTGTGGTATCCTCAAATATCAGTTGATTGCAGATAAATAACTTCCAGTGTTTGCCTCTTTTTAACATCAGTTTAGTCCCAAAAAATGTGAGTGAGCAATTTGTAGACAGCTCTATAACTTGTTTTATTTGCATTATGAAATCATTTTTTACTGATTCATTAAGGTGTAATTACAATTTAGAAGAAGTAAATCTTCAGTTTGCATTGAGCAGACTTTACGTCCTGCTCATCAGTAAAAGTTGTGTTCAGGTGAAACTCGTTCGTCCTCCTCCCGATCAAAGAGCAGCAGAGCTATCAGCACACAATGAATGAGGAAACACGCACAGACTCACATGACTCGTCAGAAGTCGCACTCGGGTATCCGTCACACTCAGAGTCAGCTGATGTGATCCACACCTGCAGCTCTGACAGCTCCGACGGGTCAGACTTCCCGCTTTTGTTCACCTTCTGCTTTTTAGACCCGAACATGTATTCAAAATACCTGCAGGGAGGAAAAAACAGACCGTGACAGCGGTCCCTGAACGCATCACGGCGTTGAGCTCCGACTCCTCACCTCCTGTAGGCGTTCTGCAGCAGAACACAGCCCGGACCCGCTGAGGACCCTTTAGAGTCGCTGATGCGAAAGCTGCCGGAGCTTAACTTGAAGGAAGTCGGGTTGATTTGGACTTTCTGCGGCAGAGGCCACAGAGAGCCGAACTTTGAAGGCACGGCGACGAGCTCAGGTTCTTCGCGGACCCAGTTGGGCTGAAGGCCCCGGCTGAAGCCAAGAACCAGCAGAGTCAGAGCAAACCCCAGCAGGACCGTCATGGTGACAGAGAAGCAACACAGTCACAAGACCCGGTTGCAAAGCAGCTTTGTGTTCCGGAAGGAGGGCGGACCAGAACACCCGGAAGTCAGAGCTGCCACAGATTTAAAGGGGAATCTTCACGAGACCAGACGAACCGGACTGACCCGATATTCTCCATCAAGTATCACTGTAGCTCCTTTTTTACATAAAACAACCCCGATTAGTGACGTGCAGATCGATACTAAAACATCGATACTACAGAAACCAAAATTTTATGTTCTAGAATCGATACTAAACTCAAAAAATCGATACTTTGATACTTTAGTTATTTTACATAATGTATATCATTAACAGGAAAATAGTAGAAAATAACTAAACTATTCGAATCTTGTCTTAATTATATGAGGTGGGAGGGAACTACTTTTTCTTCCACTTGGTTAATGCATAAGCACAGTGGCACGTGCTCAGTCACTCAGTCTGTACAGGTATGGCAGGTCATTTTAACATAAAATCTGCTTCGTCTGTAATTAAATTCTAGATGAGGGGTTCCCAAACTTTTTCATGCCATGCCCCACAAACAGCATTAGCTCTGGCCAGGGACCTTCTTGCAAACCCACAATCAAAGCTACAAAATATATACAAAGTAAACAAATTTAGAATATTTCTCTCACTTTTATTCACTTTTCAAAAGTTATTACATTTCTTTTGAATAAGAATTTTTAATTGTGCTATAAAATGTAGGGTTAGGGTTTGAAAGACTTTTAAATTAAATAAATAAATTACTATGTCATGCATTATTTACAACCCCTGAGGAACCTGACTGGGTGTGTCCTTATTTTCTACCTCCAGTTTGAGTGATTCCATATTTTTTCCCTGTGTTTGGTCAATAAAAGCAACATTCACTGACTTCCACAATGTTTTCTCTTCATTTCTTTGAGTGTCCCTGAAAGCCAACAAGTTGCACTTTGTAATGATCTTATTATTGTATCATGTTTTTGATCTGAGTTTGTTTTACAGAATGAAATGTCTGAATGAGTGCTCAGCCAAGACTGGTGATTCCATACTTTTTTCTGTGTGCTTGGTCAATAAAAGTCAATAAAAGTAACATTCACTGACTTCCACAATGTTTTCTCTTCATTTCTTTGAGTGTCCCTGAAAGCCAACAAGTTGCACTTTGTAATGATCTTATTATTGTATCATGTTTTTGATCTGAGTTTGTTTTACAGAATGAAATGTCTGAATGAGTGCTCATCCAAGACTGGTGATTCCATACTTTTTGCCAGGGGTTGTACAAAGCGGTTATTTGAAAAATGCTACTTTTTAGATTTAACAGACACATTAGGTGTGTTATCACAAAGTATCAGTATCAGATCGGTATCACCGATACCAGACAAATATTACTTGGTATTGGTATCTGAAAGAAAATTGGCAGTGTCAAACATCACTAACCCCGATATGACGCTCAGTCATTCCATTACTGTCGCTGCGGTTAGCGAGCCTGCATTATAATTTCTGAAATATGAAGTTGAATAAGTTAGTAATCTATTAAAACTTAATGTTTTATTATCAGCAAATAATTTATTTGACAACAAATAGGCTAATCAATTCTTTCAAAACATTAAACATGACAATTGAAGCTTTTTAAATCTTAACATACAGGTTTTACAGATAATTTGCTTTGGTTAAATATCCATTAGGCCTACCTGTAAAACATTATCCCCTTGTCCCTTGTAAATTTGTCCCAATTTCTGCAGTTTATAGTAGTTTGCATCACAATAGGTTCTGCTGCTCATTGGTTTCAGTGATTAGCGTTAGTATTAGTTCAATGCAAATGAAGATGGCGTGCAGAAGCGCATCTTATGTCACGGCCTCTCACTCTCGGCACCATCAGAGCGACCAAATGTCTGTATTTTGTGCAATAATCGGTGCAGTATTGAACACAGATCACATGGGACTACCTTTTTACAAGACTGAACAATAGATTATTAGTATTTTATCACCGTATCTAATATTGGCGATCAACAAAATGATAACAGCAGCAACTGGTTTTCTCTCTATCTCTTGATGGCTTTAGGCCTACAGTGTTTACATTTTGAAGTAACACAGACCTGAGAAGAACTGTACACTAAAAACAAAAGTATGAATAAATTATTGTGTTATTGCTGTATTGTAAAGTCATGGTTTTGTGTTTGTTTGAAAGAGAAATAAGTTCAAAGGAACTAAACACATTTCTTTATTGAAGTGTGATTTTTTTCCCCTTAAATTTTTATTTATTTACTTAACCCCTCATACATTTCATTATATTTTTACTCTTTGTGTGAATTACCCGTCACTTTGCTGCTGATGCACGAGTTTCTCCAGAGGGATAATAAAGACGATTTCTCCATCCATCCATTTTCTTCCGCCTATCCGGGGTCGGGTCGCGAGGGCAGCAGCTTCAGAAGGGAGGCCCAGACCTCCCTCTCCCCAGCCACTTCTTCCAGCTCCTCCGGGGGAACTCCAAGGCGTTCCATGCAACCTTCAGGTGAAAATGAAGACCCTAAACCCAGACCCAAACCAGTGGTTATTCCGTATGTTGC